CATTTGATTATGGTTTGGCTCTTTTCTCTTTACACAGTAGAATGCCAATTAAAAAGGAAATGTTAATTTATTTGAAACTCTCAATGATTCTCTAAAAATCATGAACTCTCAGTACCTCTCACATGCTATCATAAAAAGACCATATCATTATAATCTATCATGACGTGTGTACTATATTTCATTGATCCTACCATGCATATCTTTTCATGTGTTAATATATTTGAAATTGGCTGCATTGTACAGTTGAATCCATCACTATTTCATGATATAATGGACAGTATCTTTCTTTTCCTTACTGTACAGAATAGGGGAATATTTTCTCAGAATTGATGAACAGTAATTTAAAGCTAATTATGGTTAAAAAATTTAATTCCTGTTTGGTAGATATTACATGACATCTCATTCAGTCTTACTCCATTATCCTTTTGCTGTGCTGTTCTGTGCTGCAGAAGTTGTGATGTTTTAAAATTTTCTAGACTTCAGTGTTGCTAAAATTATGGATGAAAATTGGATTTCGTCAAAGAGATGAGCATATACAACTTAGAAGGTAGAAATGAGACAAAGGATGTCATTCTGTCCAGGGTGTGTACTATTGGCAAGCAGGTTTTGGATTTAGGGTGTTGATCTATAACACTGGTGTTTGTTCAGCGTTCTGAGTCCCAGCAGCTACTATGGAATAGCCGCGGTAGCTGTAGTGGAAACTGATTTCAGCTCCCTGGACCACTGCTCTGGGATGTGCGTTAACACCCAGTAGCCCTAGTGGTAGAATCATAGGTGGTACCTCTCCTGGTGAGTGAATTTTCTGTAGTTCTAGGAGAAATTCCTGGAGGTCCAGCCTAAAATCCACTCTTTCAGTCTTTTTAATAATTTTGAAATCACCGAATTTCATGTATTGAATCTCTTCTTGCTTAAGATTCCCTATAATAATTTTGATTTCCTTTATTGAGGTGCCTGGAACTTAAAAGATTATTGTATGCACCCTGAAACAAATACAGGTAGGAAAGAAATGAAAGATCCTTTATCTATTTTCTTTAGATAGCTATTTTTTTTTGTGACCTTATATATAAGCATCTGCATTTTCACCATGGTTAAAGTAAACAGTGTGATGCAAATGATTTACTTTATAAAAATGACAGCACTTTGTATTTCTATAACCTTATTATATGAATACAGGAGAAACATTATTGTTTCAATAACATCCGTAAGTTCTTTTCTAAGGCAGAGAGTATAAGTAAACAAGTAGGTAGACACATAAATAAATCATTATTAAATTATGGGAAGGAACTACACAAAATATTTCCTATTTATCCCTCCATTTGTCACTTGAAGAAGTACAGTTTGAAGGGGAAAAAAAGTACCATAAAAAACATTAGCCTGACCTTAAATAAGTCATGCCATTTTCTCTAACTCAGATCTTCTTTCTATAAAATATGGAGAATGAGACCTGTCATTTGCCTGGATTTCAAGGGTATTGTCAAGAAGAAGAGTATTGGATAATGTCCTTGCATTTAAGTAGGAAAGAACTCATAGTCTTTGGGTATTAAACTTGAATTGTGTACTCTTAGTATTATTCTTATTATTAAGACCTTATAGCCACCAAAATTAGAAATTACCCATATATATGAGATTGATCTAATTAAATAGAGACCATCTACTAAAAATTATTATTTCAATTTGCTGTGTGAAAAATCTCTGTCCATAGATGTGATAATGAAATATATCCCAAGGTTAAATCAGGACTTCACTGAAAGTCATTAGGGATCACTTCAAAGCTAAAAATAATTCACTAATAAATGTTACTCATTTTAAGTTCCCATCTCAGAAATGATTAAAGGGTACATCTTAGAGACCAGTAATTTTCAGGTTAACTACTACTTTCTATCCAAGTTTTCCCCGCCTCCCATTTTAGTTTAGATTCATGATTTTTAAGCCACATGTCAATGATCTCAGTGAAAACACTCTTTTAGTATATGTCACTTATACTCAACAAAGGGATAAAAATTCAGCCACATACCTTTGCCTTAAAATAATATTTCCATTTCTACTATGTCTCTTATAAAACCAAACTGATGCCTCCTGCTAGCATCTTCTGTGTGATTTTTCATTGGTTCACATAGGGTTAGATGTCAAAGTTGATTTTAATATAAGGAGAAAAGTACTTTAAGCTTTAGGGTTTGATTCTCTCCCTATTATCAAGCTGAACAAAAGTACTTCTTTCAATCTGAAGTTATGGAAGAGATTTATATACTTGAATTATTTTATCTATTTTGAGAAGCAATAATAGAAATTTCAGAAAGGTTATATTTCTATATCTAAATGCTTGAAAGGTAGTTTAATGTGATAGTTAAATGCACAAACTCTGGGGATGACTGTATGAACTCAAGTTCTGCCCCACCAGATTATTAGTTGGATGACTTTGGAAAAATTACTTGACTTTCCTGTATCTCTCATTTTTTAACAGTAGTATCTACTTTTTAGGGTTTTCATAAGTATTAAGTAAATCAGTACATTTAAGAGGGGTCTTAAAGCCTAATTCATGCAAGTGCTTAATAAACTATTATTACTGTTAAAAATACAACACTGCTTTATTTTCTTATCCCACAGGACCTAGCTTATTTAAGGAGTTGACTTTTCCCATGATCAAGGGCAAATTAAAATTCTTATAGGTATAACATATTACATTAAATAACAAAAGTGAAAACTGCATGAAATAACAATAAATCAGTAAGCTCAAGGATTAGGCTTGTCTTTAATGTTTCTGCAAATATGTGCTTATGAATTCTATGTATTCAGTGTACATGATTTAGATATCTCTAATTAATACTATAAACTCATATCTTTGAAAACATCCAGCCACTTGATTGTATCTTTCAGCTGTCATACAATGGATTGCTAAATCACAGACTTGTATAAAACACGTGTTTCCTAAAGCTGTGTCTGTTGACCTTTAGTCTCTTAAGATACCCCAGTGAGGACATGGGGAAGGGGAACCACAGTCAAGTAAGTCTAAAAAATTGAGAAAGATTGCATAATATATTTTTTTCTTGAGAATTCATGTTATTTATTAGTATATTAGAGTCTTGTAATACAGAAATCTTTTTTTATGCTTAACTGAATTTTCCCAAATATTTGGTCATAAGATTGAATTTATCTTCATTCCATTGAGGTATATTCTACAGAACTAATGACCCAAAGAACACACTTTGGGAAATGACGGCACATAAATGGTGATATCATGGTCTCTAAACATGAAGAAATTTTGCTAACTGAATACTAAATTTGATTTGTTTTAGTTTATTCAGACCGATTAGAGGAACTTGATACAGATTATAAAAATCCATGGACAAGAGTGACTTGAGAAAGATTTTGAATAGGATTTTTCTACCATCATTTCTCCACCATGCACTGATTTTGATAGCCACCCACAGAAGACAGTCCTTTTGTGGAAGTCTGGGGGTCCCAGTAGAGAAGTCCCGTAACTCATTCAGGTACACAAGGCTCAAAGTCCTGAAGCTGGTTCAACCCAAAGGGGACTTCAGTGAGACATATCATAATCAAATTATAAAAATCAAAAGCTGAGAATTTTGAAAGCAACAACAAAAAACAGACTTGTCATATCCAAAGGAACCCCACTAGATCATAATCAGATTTTTAAGTAAAAATTTTATAGGCCAAGAGAGAGTGGCCTATATTCAAAGTGTTGAAAGAAAAAAAAACTGCAAGTCAAGAAAATGTCACTTGGCAAAACTATATTCCAGAAGTGAAGAGGAGATAAAGAGATTTTCAGATTGAAAAAAAAAAAAAAATCCAAGAGTTCATTACCACTACATCTGCCTCAAGAAATGCTGAAGGGAGCTCTTTAAGCTGAAAAGTAAAGAAGCTAATTAATATATGAAAAATAAATGAAAGTCTAAAGCTCACTGGTAAAAGAAAGTGTACAGTCAAATTCTAAATACTCTAATACTATAATGATGGAGTAGAAATCAATTTTAGTCTAACATGAAACTAAAAGATAAAAGTATTAGATATAATAATCATGAAAAAAATTACAATGGTTATGAAATATAAAAGAAGTAAATTGTAACATCAAAAACTTAAAATATGGGAGGGGAAGAAAAGTGCAGACTTTTTGTATGCAAAGTTGATATCAGCTTAAAATAGACTATTATAAGATACTTATTATAAGATATTTATGTAAACTCCATATTAAGCATAACCCTCTGATAGATACACAAAAGAAAATGAGAAAAAAAATCAATGCACAGCACTGTAGGAAGTCATCAAATCTATTTTATAATAGATTTGAAAATAATCAAATCTATTGTTTATAGCAATAAACATTGATGTAGTTGTGTCACTATAGTATGCTGATTTTAAATTCTTTGGGTATATAGTGAGGAGTGGGATTACTGAGTCAAACGTGGTTTCATTCCAAGTTCTCTGAGGAAATTCCATACTGCTTTCCAGATTGGTTGCACCAATTTTCAGTCCTAATGGAACCAACCTAGGTTCCCTTCAATAGATAAATGGATAAAGAAAATGTGGAATATATACACCATGGAGTATATTAGTCAGCCACGAAGAAGAATGACTTTGTTACATTTGCCAGCAAATGGATGGATCTGGAAACTATCATGCTAAGTTAAGCAAGCCAGTTCCAAAAACTAAAAATTGAATGTTTTCACTGATATGAGGGAGCTAACCCACAATACAGAGGGGAGCATGAGGGGAAGAATAGAAATGCAGTAGATTAGACGATGGGGAATGGAGGGAAAGGGAGGGGGATAGGCAAAAGAATGACACTGGAATGAATCTGACATAACTTTCCCATGTACATGTATAAAAACATCACGGTGAATCCCACCATCACAAACATACATGAAATGGGACTCTAACTAGAATAAAATATAGTCCATGATTGTATAATTTATATAAAAATGGATTTACTTTCATGTATGACTAAAAAGAACCAATAAATATATATTTTTTTTTAAAAAGGAAGAAAATCAAATCTATGGAAGAGCCCCAAATGAGGAAGACAGGAGCTACAAAACAGAAAACAGCACAATGGCAATAGTAAGTTCTTACCTAGCAATAATTACTTTACATATAGATGGATCAAATTCTCCAATCAAAAAAAAAAAACACAGTGGGTAAGTGGAGAACAAATACAAGCCCACCTGTACACTGCCTATCAGATTCACTTTAACTCTAAGGACACACATGAAATGAAAGTGAAGGGATGGAAAAAGGTGTTCCATGCTAATGAAAATCAAAAGACAGCAGCAGGATCTGAAGCTTACATCAAATAAAATAGATCCTCATTCAAAACCTGTAAAAAAGGAAGACAGCTATTCCATAAAAGTGTCAATTAATCATAAGAGCATCACAATTGTAACATCTGTACTCAACACTGGAACACTTAAATATAAAAGGCAAATATTAACAGATCTGAGGGGAGAAATAGATTATTAGTATAATAATAGTATTCTAAGACAGTGTGCATGGTGGAGCAAAGGGAGTCTATTCAGACTTAGAAATGAAAGAAGCATGTAGTAAGACTGCCTCACACAGTCATGGAGAGGAAGTATTCTAATTGCTACGTGCATCAGTTTGGTGCATGTCTAGACTATGCCAGGCCTTGAAAACATAAGAAAGTGTATGTGTTGATAGATTTGTTGCCAAGCACAGAAAAAGAGAAGTGTAGACAATTCCAGACACGGATCAAGCTAGAGGTGGAGGCGGGAATGCAGCTGCAGGGCTCCGACCATGAGGAGCACAAATATAGGTAAGGGAGTAATGGGAACTTCCAGTGTCAAAGGGTGTCAATCATCCAGCAGGTTGTGAAGGGCCTCAAAGGCCACTGTGCACTAACATGATGTATAATTGTTTATAACAAAGTCCTGAGTAAAATTTAAAGTACTGATTGCCTTGCTATTGAATTTTGACTGGTATAATTGAATGTATATGATTCTGAAAAAGTCTTTGCTTATTCATTTTATCAATGGCTTAGGAGATTCAAATTTAATGTTCCTCTGTTTTCCAAGAATATTCTTATATACTTGGAAACACATGGCTCTAAACACTAAAACTTTTTTTTTTGTTACATTCTTTCTAAATTTACATATCTTTATATCAAAGAGAAGTTTCGGTGAAAACTTTAAGGTTTATATGTAACAATCTGCCTAATCACCAAATACCAGTAGAAAAGAAAATGGATAACTAAATACAAGGAATAATATTTGGAACATATTCAAAAGATAGAGGAATTCTTTAAAACCAGTAACTCGACTGATGTAGTAGAGTCGTTGGTTATACTCACGTAAACTTGAAAGCCAAACCAACATCTGACATCCCATTAGTGAAACATCTCATGATTAATTGTCTAAATTTTTTTTGAGTTGGCAAACACTTCTCTCTTGACTTACTGCATTCTCTCAGTAGAAGAACTGACTACTGTGGAAATTTAAACTACATCCATGAAAGTGGAAAATTATAAGGTGACATATGAAGAGTTAGAACAGATTTACCCCAGAAGCAAAGCCAAATGCCAGCCACTGTCACGAATTCCAAAGACATCTGAATCTGAGGATAACAAGTTCCAGCAGCAGAAGCAGCAGCACCAGCAGTGAGGACACGTTTAGGAGGAGACCTTGCAGCCAGACGGGTGGAGACTCCAGTCAATGCCTCATTCTCCTTACAGACAATTTGAATTCTAATCTTGACCAATCAATGGTCCAAAGGCCAATGGAGGCAGAGGAAATATGTCCTTCTCCTCAACCCCTCAAAAGATTAAATGTTGAGAGCAGAAGAATTCTCCTCCACAGAAATTCATGATTTTAAGGTTTTGTTTCCACTGACTCAATATTTCCAATTTACAAATAAACTAATTTGATTAACAGATAAACCCACACATTTTCATGCCCTATAGGACTGGTATATGCTTGACAAAAAAACCTCTAGGGTCAGAAAGTCCTGTTGATGAAGAAGGAGTTTCTCTTTTGTTCTTTGGATTATTTACACCCTAGATAAAGGCTACACTACAACTTGTGGACATAATATAGGCATTTAAGTCAGAGTCTATATGTTTAGTTGGTTTTGTTTTTTTTTTTTTTCCCCTCTCTCTCCTCTTAGGAATGTTTGGAAAAGGATAGCTTACAATTATTTTGTTATTTATTTTATAAATGCTTAACTTTGAAAGACAGATGATTGCATTATTTTGGGAACTTTCTGAACTTTTTAGTAACAATAAAGAACTCATAAGCCACTCACCAACATTATAAAAAAATAATTAAAATAAAATGAAAAAAAAACTGCATTGGATGCAAAAGTTCTTTAAATACCTGCTGCTTGCTGCATTCACAGTATTATGGATGGTGCATCCCATGTTTCCACAAAGATTGGGGGAGCTCTGAATAAGGGGGAGCAATGCACTGGGATTGGACCAAAGTTTTATACTAAAAGTGTCATTCTGTTTTGTATTAATTAGTATAAGGTATTCATTCTGCAAACATGTATTGAACATCTTCTGAGAACAAGACTCTTCTTTGCCTTCACGAAGATCTCCACATACAAAGAAAAACACCAGTATTAGTTATACCAAAACTCAATTTTAAATAGCCTATCAGGAGAAGGCCATCTGAAAACAAAACAGGAAAACCATGATTTTAATAGGCATAGATCCCATCCATTCCTGATCCATTCCTGGGATAGCCAAACTGGAAGTTTTTTTTTGTTTGTTTGTTTGTTTGTTTTTTTAAATAGATGATTCCAGCCCCTTTACTTTAAAGACAAGAACCTGAAGTTTAAAGAAGTGAGGACTCTTCTCATAGCTAATTCTTCCACAGTTGCAGAATCAGCAAAAGACAAGATTTCTAATTTAATTTTATTTTTAAAAGCCAAATGATCATTTTCAGTAACAAACAAAAACCAAACTATTTAAAAGAATTTAATTGAGGTCAAATCTTCTGTTCTTCTGGGGTCTTGGGGGTGGGAGGGATGTGGGAAACAGTATTAGACAGCATAAATTTCACGTCCCCGTATGCACCAAGTGCTGTGCTAGATGCTTTCATAGCCAATCTCTAAATCCTCATAGCTCTACAAAATTGGTGCTATACTTTCCATTATCCAGATGAGTAACATGAAGTTCATGTTTGCTAAGGAATTTGCCCATATGCAAACATTTTATGAATGGTAAACTTGGGATTTGAACTTTTTCTGCCTTCAATTTTTTTTTGCTCTTTTCATTCCACCTTGATTATGGCCTGTTAGAGGAAACTCTGCATTTTTTCATAAATGAGTTCAATTTTTGCCTGCCACCTGGATTTTATGACTGCCCAGATTGATTTTTCTCTTCAATTTACATTTTTAAACTGTGGTGTTTTTTTTTTTTTTTCTTGTCCCTTTATCTCTTGTTTCAGTCATGAGGCTGGAAAACATGAAAAATATGCTAGTTTTGTTCAGACTGAGAACATTCCAAAATATTTGGCTGCACCTCAAAACCCTGTTAAAATAATATTATTTATAACTCTCTGCTTGGTCAATTTTATTTTAAGTTTAGCCGTTTCCCATAGGAGGTTGTTCTTTCTCCTTGATGGTAAGGTTTGCTGCTTGGAAGCCTTAGTCTCAAAACATTTTTCAAGTAAGGCTCAGGTCTTTGCTTTTATGATGAATAGAAACTAGTTAGACAATAGCCCAACCACTCTGAAGCAGTTAGTTGCTGATCTCACTCCCAGTAGCTTTGGGACATGAGCAGGGAGAATGCTGTACTTTTACATATGAGCCATCAGCCCTAGTCACCAGGCATGAACCCCCAACCCTCTGCCTGGCACCATGACTGGTCATATTTTAGAGGTGGGCTTTGGTGTGATGGGGAGGTTTTCCAGAATGCCTTCTGAGGAATATAGACCTAATTTCTTGTACATCCCACCTCAGTAAGGCTGTGACTATTGTTAGCAGATTTGTTTAGCTTCCTTAGCAGCTTGAGACCTTTCATTGCCTTTTGAGTACATGTTTTGATTTGGGGGCAGAGATGAGGGAAAAGGCAGAACTGTTACAATGGAACCCCCACTGTAAGTAGCAGGGAGGTAGGCTTTTTCCAGGGCACATGTCTAAAAGAGAAACCCCATCTTCACCCTGATGTATAACTGAACACTGTCCACGATTGACAGCAAAGCAATGTGAAGCACAGAGGCCAAGGATTTATTATTTAGCAACTTAAACAAAATAGGGTTTCTCTGAAAGGCCCCTTCCCTTTCAGACAAAAACAGTGGTCAGTGAAGCAGCAATTCACAGGAAATGACAATGTTGCTGTCCCAGGAGCAGCTACCCTAAAGGAAACAGGGGCAGAAGAGAGTGAATAATTAACCTAAAAATGTGGTTACATAACCACTGAAATTCCACAATCCACAGCCCCGTGGCCTCATTTCATTCTTTAGCAACATTCCCATCCCAGCAATTGCTGGTGGCCCCTGTTCACATTCTGAAGCTCCTCTGCCTTCCTGAGAGCTAAACACGTATTGATTTTCCCAAAACCCGAGTCTGTCCGTAATAAGATGATTTGGTGAATGTTCTGTCAAATGCAAAGGGAAGCCTCTGCCAGACTGAGCATTAGAACACGGTGTTTTTAATAGAAATGTGAAATATCGATGCAATTATAAATCAATGAAAACCCAGGGGGAAAGAGAATCTCATTTGAGGAGAGATCTTTAAGTTTTCTTTTTCTTCTTTTTTTCCTTGCAAGGAAAAATTGGACCAGGGAACCAAATTTATGAAGTAAGAACTGTCACCAAAGTATTCCATAGCTGTTGTTGGATCCGAGAACAAAGAAAGCCAAAGCACGTATGTATGCAGTGTGAGTATGCGAAAGGGCACATTTTAATAAATTAGTTAGTTACCTCCTTTCTTTCACTTGTGTTGCAGGCTGTTGCCCAAAATCGTTATCGTTTTGGTAATGCTGCTCACTTACATCCTTTTCCACATTCTAGAATTTCTCCTAATTTTGCCTTCTCTTTTCCTAGATGGTGTTTGTGGATCGCCAGGGTATGTCGTGGGGGTCTTTAAAGCTGGTGCTAGCTGGCTGGCCATACGGCTGTAACTCATGGTGCATGCTGTGGAGAACTGTGCAGCAAAGAGACCATGTGCTTACACTAGGGCACACTGCCAAGCTGAGAACTAAATCAGAGAGCATCACCAGCGGCAGTAAGCCAGGAGGGTATAAAAAGTTCCAAAGAGAGAAGCTGTGATCAGAGGATAGTCTATGACATCGGGCGGGACTGGGACAGCAGCAAGCAGACTGATCCCTCCTTGTAGCCCAAATCTGTCCTTCATCATGGTGGGGTTGTTTATTTAGACTGTATGTAGGTAATCTTTATCAACCTCTTTCAGAAATTCTGGACTTGAGGGAATATGCAGAAATGTGAGAAAAGGAAGAAAATGTGCAGGACAGAGATAGGAAATGGATTCAGATGGTTGGAATGGAAGAGAAACACCTTGGTTTTGATGTTGCTTTCACAGAAGCATAGTTACCCCCCAAAAAATTTCATGATCAATTATTCAAAACAATGGTAAGGAATCACGAGATTTGTTGTCCAGATATTGCAAACATAGGAAAATGTGGACATAAAGAGTCACATTTGTGATGGTGGCAGTATGCTCCTAATTTTTCTTGTTTCTTTTTCTGTGTTAGTAAGAAGAAAACTTTTGAGGTTTTCAATCAGGTCTCAAGTGTATTAGTAATAACATGTTTCAAAATTCACTGATGTAAACTCATGAATGTTAAAATTTTTCTCTCCTGTTTTTAACAACTACAACTCCTTTGGACTTTTACAAGATTCAAAGGGATTGGCAGTCCAGGTCCTATTCCTGGTTTCCAATGCCCCACCTCCACACATGCCTGCCCTTTACACATTGTGATGTTATTGGTTTATGACTCAATGAAAGATGGGAGGTGTCAAGGCCAGAAATATGGCCTTTATGGACAAAATGCAAAGATATTCCAGAAACTGAGAATTCAGTAGTATGAGGAAGAGGTGTTTTTATCTTCATTTGTCTTTGAAAGCTGTAAGACAATTTCGTATTATAATTGTAATACAAGTATACTGGTGGTTGGAAAATGTACAATATGGTGGGGAAAAAGACATCATCTGGTTTGACATAATAGAGATCCCAATGGATCCAAGAAATGTAACAAAAATTATGATCTCTATACTTAAAGAGCTGTAGCTCATGTAAGAATTAATTATATATAAGTATTGTGTAGTGACTGTTATACAAAAAATTGTTGTGACTTTTTCATAGAAATTACACAGGCATCTGACTGTAGAGATTCTTGCAGCTCAAAGTGGAATACACAATCCTGCATCCACACTAAAATTTTAAGCCAATGCCTAGACTCCCCATTAGAGTGGAAGCAAATAGGACACGAGGATTGTTTTTATATTTTAATTTCAGATAGAAACATCACTTAATGAACCTAAGCTATGCCAAAGGCCCACTTAATGATGTTTACTTAGCTTAGAAAAATAGTGGAAGAAATCTATTTGCTTTGGAAGACTGGGGAGGAATTAAAATAGAGAACCATTTGCTTTCAAAAGGAAAGTTATCTAGTTGTCTAGATCTGGAATTTTTATATGATGATACTATGTTCTCTGAAGTGCCTGAGTCATGTGGGTCAACATCACTCATGAAAAATGTGTTTAGACATGTCCTAAATTATTTAGAATAAGGCTTGGTAGTTCCATTGCTAAAGAGAATGTACAAGGGTGCCTACACAGTAAATGCAGGGTACAAGAGTGAGATATAAACAAAAAACTTGGAAATAGCAGCACTTTGATTGAGTTAATCTGGTAAAAATATCCACATAACAGATTTGATTGGCACTCTCTCTGGGTAAACCAATAGATAATTGTAAAAGAAGGACTATAAACTCTTGATAACAGCTAAAAACCCATCAAGGAGACTTCTTAGAAAAGCAGAATGGGAATGCAATACAAGGCAGTATACCGAATTTGATTAATTTAATGACACACAGTTGTAAAAAAGGCAATACTAAAAGAAGAAAGATGGCTTGCTTAGAAAAATTAAAAAGAAGTGTTAAAAACTAATATTTGTCAGAATATTGCCAATAATCCCTAGGGGAAAATAAAGTTTTCCTTATTCCTGCAAGTAGGTAGGCAAATTCTACATTCTACAGTGTGGATAAGTATATCTCACCTTCTTAGCTCAATGACACTCATCAGTAAGACCATCTACCTATATTTAGCAACTTACTGAGTAAATGTAACTTCCTATGCATATTGTGTTATGGGAAAAGAACATTGGAATTGATGAACTGATGTGAATGTTCATGTCTTCTCAGGACATCTTTTTTTCTTTGGATATTGTTTGATAATGCACAAATACTTGATGGTTTGAACATCAGATTGTTAATGGTTGGATTAGTGGGAAGCAGTTCCCCAGAGCAAGGTAAAATTTGATTGGCACTCTAAAATGATGATATAGCATTTAAAAGTTAAGGTGCTGCTGATCCCATAGTGACCATCTTGGGTCTTCCTTTGGTGGTTAGGAAACTGTCTTGACATTAATGCCACTTCATCTTGCTCTAAGAGAGCGCCAAGTATTCTCAAACTCAGTAAATATGTTTTCCCAGTGAAGAGAATAGAATTAGAGAAAGTCTGGAGTGACACAAACCTTGTTTGAGAAAAGCCAAAACTAAAAGAAGAGAAATGGTAAGATTAAAAAAAGGAAAAAGGAAAGATGAAAAGGATTTTCATTATACTTTATACTTTGAATATTATGTATTTATATATTTCAGGTAAAATACACGAAAATGCATTATAATTGAAATGTTAAGTAAAATAAAATCAGGATGTTAAAAAAAAATAGGATTTTGGGCTGGGGCTGTAGCTCAGTGGCAGAGTGCTTGCCTAGCATGTAGGAGGCACTGGGTTTGATCCTCAGCACCACATAAAAATAACTAAATAAAATAAAGGCATTCTGTCCATCTACAACTATACAAAAAATTAAGAAAAAAGAAACAGGATATTGATGCTTGATACTCCCCAGTCCTTAATCATCTCTACCCTTATATTCACACTGGCATCTCTCTGAGTGATGCAGATAATTTGAACATTTATTGGGTATCTTGGGTGGGCAGGCACTGTGGCAGGCATTTGGCACCCTAAAGTTTATTATATTTCCTTGACCAAAAACAATTGGCCAATTTAGTTAAAATAGTATTTTAGAATGACTGTTTTCCTCTGATAATGAGACTATTTTTAAATGATCTTAAAAGATACATTTTGTTTCCTTTCCCCCTCAACCTCTACAGAATGGAATATTAATTATTATTATTTTTAAATTTTTTCCCACTATTGGGGATTGAATCCAGGGGTATTCTACCACTGAATTACCTTTCCAGTACTTTTAATTTTTTGTTTTGAGACAGGGTCACCTTAGGGCCTGAGACGGGCCTTGAACTTATAATTCCTGCCTCAGGCACTCTAGTAGCTGAGGTGTGGCCACCACACACAGCTATATTTTTAAAATATAGTTAGTTATGGAGAATCAATGAAAGCCTTGATGGGACTCTTTGCTTTACAAATGAGTGACTGGAGGGATGCCTTCTTGAGGCCATGAAGAGGTTAAGTGCTCCCCAAGGAACCCAGGTCAGCATGGAGGAGAACTGGGGCAGGGGGTGGTTTTCTGTCCCTACCTAGGAGAGAAGTGACAGTTTTCCTTTGCTTTTCCTTTGTGCCATATGTATAAAATTAATGAGATCTAAAAAAATATTTCCCGTAAATTCGTCAGTGTTCTTTCGTTCACCCAAGTTTATCCCTTTGGGGAAATCATTGCCCTTATCTGATTTTATTTTTGTCAGGCAGGAGGCCTGCCTGGCATCTGACTTTGTTCCAGGGCTTTAAGGCTCTTCCTTTAGACAAGCTTATTCTCCTTCCCATCTCTTCTTCTGTTCAGACACATTTTGCTTCTAATGATTTCATAAGTTTTGTGCTTTGACTGCTTAATATCTTAAAATCCTTTTAGACCAGACTATATTTACTGGGGAAGAACATCAATGAAAGGATATCATTGAATTACTTTAGTCAAATATCTTTGTTTGAAAAAAAAAGTGTGGTCTCAATTATGGCAATTTTTAAAAACATAGCTTTTGGATTGAAAAACATATCTACCTTTTGTAAAAATAAGACTATTCATTGTGAAAAAACACAGTAATGTTATTCTCATTTTGAAACAGTTAAATTTAAGTAGTGATGGTACAAAATATTGTGGCTTGAGATTCAGTGATCTGGGTTCTAGTTCTTACTTTTCTCTCAAGTAATATCAAGGAGATTAAACTCTAGGACTTCGTTGAGTTCTCTAAAGGTAGGATTCAATTAAATTATTTTTTAGTGCAACTTCTAGATATTCCAAGGCTCTATGGGGCACTATGTCATAACAAGGTCCTTTGAGACAGAAATTAAAATTTGAAATTATGATTTCATATCTTAGAGCAATCAGTATGATTCTAAAATGAATAAACAGGTATTGAGTGACATTCTTATCTTGATCTCACCTGCTATACATGCTCAAATGAGTAATCAATAGCATCAGTTAAACTGTTTTGAGAAGGTACATTTGATCTTTCTTTAAAAACAAAGCTGTTCATATAAATGTAATATGAGTCATATATGTCATTTATATTTTCTACTAGTCATATTCAAAAAGTTTTTAAAAGTCAAAGTAGTTTTGCTGTTATATTTTAGTTAACTCTACATATCCAAAATATAATTTCTTTAAATATAATCAACATAAAAGGTTTTATTGAGATTCACCATATTTGGCATTCTTTTTTAA